CCAACCGTTCGACTGCTTTCTCAGACACATCGTGGGAATCGAGCGACAGGAGTGAGAGTGAGGGCTGTTGTCAACACAAATGCTTCAATAAAAGTACTTGTCTTCACATCTGTTGCAAGAAAGGCTTGAACACAGATACCGCTCATAGCAAACAGGTATGAAATTTGGTTTACGCTTTACGTTCAAAGCTGTGTTTTTCCTCTAATTATTTTAAAACAACCGATACTTTGAAAAATAGGTCACAAAAAATAAAAGGCAACAAAATGCAGGCGAAAAGACTGACAACTCGGCAAAAAAGGCCAAACAATGCAAACCTAACTCTAATTTAGACAATTGGCTCAAAACGGCTCAATCCAAGAATGCTAGCGATAGTGGCAATAGTGGCCAACAAACTGCTCCCAACACTTCCAACACATCTAATGCTATGACTAAAAGCCAATACTTTACAGATAATAAATATGCAGACATTGAGAGTGAGGACATCGAAGACACTAATTCCACATTTAATGATAGTTTTGATGATTTGATGTGCAATTTGGAGGATAGTATTGATGTTAAGCCAAAAGTAGAATCAATGGATAAACCCGTGGACATGGAGTTCGACAGACAATTAGACGCAATGTTCTCCTGCACTGAAGACTTTCAAGACTTTTCAGAAGCCATTGAAGTGAAGTGTGAGCCCATAGAGCCCAGCAGTGGTGGTGAGCGGACAGACTTCCTCATGAGTCAGTGGTCGCTATTCATACCAAACATTGATTTAAAGGGCAAAACATTTCTCAGACACAACTGATTAGAAATAATTGTTTAAACAGTGATTTGATTTCAAATAAGTATTTCTCTGTTATTAATCAAAACAAATGATAATTAATTATAAATTACAAGTCATTAATATATCTAAACATTTAAAATATTCTGTATTTAAATAGTATTACAAATAAAATTACATTAATATAAATACAATGAATGGAGACTCGAATCAAAGCAATGAATGAATTGACATGAAATGCAAATGCATTTGAATGTATGGATCGATAAACTAATCAAAACTAATCAAAACGACAACAGCTATGACTCATAGCGTGTGGATTGGGATTGGGATGGGTTTGGGATGAGTCGCTCGTCCATCTGTACTGTCGTCCAAATGCATCGCTATCTCGACGTGCTTCAGTCCATCAACAGTCACACCGATAGTCACCACCGCATCACCTCTAAGACGACCACTTTATAGCCAATGGTTGCCTTAGACTGGCGATGGAGGAAGAGGTGGCACTGGAGTTGTTGGAGGACTGACACAGTGGTTGGGGATGTGTGTCGAGTGCCAGTTGGAGGTCAAAGATGTAGTCAATCACGTACTGAATGATCTCCAGTTTAGACAACTTCTTATTGCGGGGGATATTGGGAACCAATTCCTTGAGTTTGGCTAACAGTGATTGCATCTCATCCGCAGATACATTGGTATCCATTTTGTGAGTCGTCTGCGACTTCTTCACCTTATTTGTTGACAAACTCCGAGCAGACAAACCCAATGCCTGTCCATTGCAGGCATCACTTGAACCAGAACTGCACGACTCGTCCGTCTTCGGAGACATCTCTTTGCAAATTTTGGTCATTTTGTCACCGATTGAGTCACTCTTAAGTATATATGTCTTGTAATATCCGCTTTTGTGGCCAAATATTAAGTATTGATTGGTTTGACACGAATTCAACGTATGTCTCAATGCATAGACTCTTGTGATGTGATCACCATTTGTATTGACTTTCACTGCAATCACACAACACTTCACTCGCAATCAACTCGTTATGACATACACTGCGCACACATTTCCCTTATATAGCCGTCCATACCATACAACACCACCTCCTCACCCATACATCCAATGCCTGCTGAGCAATGTGTGTGAGTATGAATGGAGGGCCGGACTACTCGTCAAACTCGTTAAGACGAACTCAACAGCAGTCCCCACGAAGTCTGCGGCGCACCTGTTCTCGCATCAAGTTAGCACTGGTAGGCATAGGCTGTGCCATAGTATGTAGACATAGACTCCACTCATAGCCATACCATAGCCATAGCCAGGCAATGGCATAGGCATAGGCACAGGTGCGCTCCAGACTTTCAGTCTCCAGACTCCAAATCTTCTCACCATTTCTTGATGTCTTCACAGCTTAAGCACACCTGCATTACAAGTCACAGCCGATGCCTCCCTGTCCTCTCGCTATTGCTTTATTGCGATACAAATGCGTGAGTCTTGTGTACCAAACGTATAGTTTGAGGATATAAGGGATATAAGGGATGCAAATGCTGTCAATTCTCTATCAAAATCTTTTGGCAAACTTTTGCATTAAATTCATATCAAAACCAAACATAAGATTTAGATTTGAACTCAATTTTCAGTCTATTATTACATCTCTTATTGTTTTCTCAGAAATTTTATGCTATTTTCCTGTGATTTCTCATTAAAAGACACTCCGTTTGAGTTTAAAGTTTGCGAATAAATTATGAGGAAATTTGATGCAAAATAAACACAAACTTTGTTTCTTGTAATAAATCGATGCCTTAATTGAACGCATATTTGAATCCCAAAAGTCGTGATTTGGTATCACATGACAAGTCATTTGCAATGCATTCACATAAAAGATAATTGAATTTATTTGTTACAAAAAGCGATACATTTTTAACTCAATTGCGAAACTTTTACTATAATTACAATTCATAATGAAATTTAGTGTCAATTTTGATGCGAAACTATGAATTATAGTGGAGTCGAGAGTATGGGAGAGCAGACCCTCTCTTCAATGACTGGATTGACGCTCTGGAAGTCATAAGTGAGTGAATGCCAGGGATGTCAAGCCATTCAAGTGATGGCTTTTATGGTTTGCAAGTCTTGAGATTTTTGCCGGACTTTTGTTTCACGAATTGCTTTCAAAACTATACACGACTGGTAACGACCCGTAACTCAAAGCAATACTCATATAGTTTTTTATGCCACCGGAGGCCTAATTATTAGTGGCCTTCCGTACGCTTCACTGCTGTAAGCCTTGTCTACCCCTCCCGAGCGCTTCACGTGCGCAGTGAAGTGCATGGCTTTGACTGAATGGCCAAAAAAGACACGACTTTTAAAGACAAATGAATACATTAGTGGCGATTGGAGTCCTACTCCTAACTCTTAAGTTGATTAACACTATTACTAATACTCTATTACTTATGGAAATAATTTTGATAAAAGCGTTTCATCAGAGAGTGCGGCGGATTGGGTCGCATCTGTCTTTTCAGCCCATCTGTCCATCTGGTGATCTACTGTACAGTACTGTACGGTTCACTCATTGCACACCACATATGCAAACGCCTGACTCTCTGGCAATCCTGAGAATACCCCCTGAGATTTGGTGCCAAATACTGTTCCGAACCGTAATCAGTGGCCACTCCTAAAAAAGATGGCAACGGTTCCTATCAAATATGGTATATAAAAAGGCAAATATAAAGTCCTGATGTGTGTGTGTGGGGTGGGGTGGGGGGAGGTGTGGGCTCTATCGCCAGTTCTGCGGCTTTTGTACGAATGATAAGCTATGAGTGAATGAACTGAACACGAATTGAAACATGAATTCATGGATTTCATGGACTTTAAACTGCATTAAAATGGAGACTCCATTGGAAACAATGGCATTAATAAGCAGAATGAGTCACATCTTAGGCCACGTGCGCCGGCATTCGGCTCCCGGGCCTACGAATGCACTCGACTTCATATGAAATGTAATATTGAATGCAATACTCTTTGCATACGACACGCGACTTGTTTTTGATGAAAAGATCCATATTGTCAGCCGTATTGACTGCCAGCCTCTGGTAGGCCTGCAATGCCTGACCAGTGCTTGTCGTGGGAATAGAGCGCAGACACGTTCCCATCGAAAGCAACACTAATATACTTAAAGCTATCGAAACATATCATACATTTAGTTGTAAAAGTGCTTTCATTACCACAGTATTAATGTTTGCTTTTCTGTGCCTATTATTAAAAGCAGTTGTGTTACAGCTGCCGGTGCCCGCACTCCCACTGAACTGTATGCCGCTCTCGACGTGGACTGGAATTTGATCGCAAAATATTGATTTATACTATTTGTGAATATAATATACAGATATAAAGCAATTAAATTAAATACTTTTATCGCATTCACTATTTCCATGCTTTAGATTACAATGAAATATGAATTCGTTCAATGAATGTCTCAAATGTGTTGTGAATCAGTGCTACAAAAATGTACACATTTTTTACATCAATATATCATACATTCTCTGATTTTAATTAAATGAATGCTCTCTTCGATCACTGGATTTGATTTAATTTGAGTCCAGAATTCATTGCTTTTACAGATTAGGAGGAAAACTATTTGAATCCAAGTCTAATGCGCTATAATTTGATGACAATTTGGATAATTATTTAAACGAAATAAAATAATTAATGACTTATTTAAAGGAAGTGAAACATTAGAAGGGATTGCAAACCATTTATTTAAATTCTATTTCCATTAAAAACTATACAATTAATTGTTGTTTATATAATTTGTATTAAATCTTTAAAATAATAATAATAAAAACTTCTAGAATTGTATTTTTATAGTGGAATTCCTCAAATAGGCGAAACATTAAAGTATTTTAAGCAAATAAACTGAAATATGAATCAAAATGTGCTAAAATGGTGAGTGAATAAAAGGTCCGGCTTGTATTGTACTGTATTATTGTGGGCATCGCTCATAAAAATAAGAAAAATAGGAGTTCTAGGGCAAATCATGAGATGTTTTGTTGAATACAGCGTTAATATAATATTGACTTGAATTTAGTTTAAATAAATGCCGGAACAGAACATAAAAACTATTTTTCTGCTAATATTTGTTTTGAGATTAGATTTAGTTCTCAATTGTTTGAAGCATTGATTAGAAGTGAGGCTAACATTAAGTGACATAAAAATTCTTAGCGTTAACTCACAATACATTTGATGAGAAATCTAATAAAAATAGTGAATAGAGAGAGAGAGAGAGAGGGAGAGAGAGAGAGAAGAGAGGAATGGATTCGTGGATTTGGTTTGAAATAGAAAATAATGAATAATATAATGATGTGATGCGAGAGAGCGAGCATTCTTTGACTCAAAGCACTTTAGTTGTGAGCGGACAGGGATGACAAGGGATGCAAACGATGGGAGAGTAGGGATGAAAAGGGACAGAGACTGAGCCTAAAGGAAGAGACAGAGCGTTGAGAGCAGTGAACATTGAGATACATTGAGAGCGTATCATAAATAGTGGATCGCTATGGCAACGGCACAGGGATGTAGCACTTCATTATTTGTGATTCAGTGGAGTATAAGTGGGAATAGGAATGGGAAGGAACGGCACGTCTTTCAACTCTCGGGTGTAATACTGGATCTAATGCTGGCATTACTGTAGATGAGTATTACTGTAATACCAGTGCTCTCTCCATACAAATGAAAAATACATGAATTGCCAAAACCATAGAGTCTATGGCATAGACTGACGACTCACTGACGGCTTGTATTTTATTTTCGTATAGCATTTGAAAAGTTATTTTATTTCAGGAGTTGTTTGGCATGAGTTCAGTACAGTTCAAGAGCTTTGAGTAAAAGATATACAAATTATTATTAATATTTAGGATTAAAGTATTCGTAGCGCACCTGTCGTTTCATATACAGTATGGTTAGACTGAGTGGAGTGTAGTCAGAGAGGGAACAGTCATTAATTTAATTGATAAGCCGTTGTATCGGAGCATAACATAACAAAGTGCATCCAATCATCTAATGACTGCAATGACTGCACACCTGCACCAGACCTGCACCACCACTACTACTATCACTACTACTCCACACTGTATGTCACGTATAGCCCAACTCCATACCATATATGAATAAAAATCGTTTCCAAAAATAATATATTCAATGAGATAGTGAAGCCTATTGTTAAGCGTATAATCATTTTTTGCACATTTTTCTCATCGATAATTAAAATCACGGAATTGTTTCAAACATATGACTGCTTTGCAATCCTTAATGTCTTTAATGTCTCAAAACATCTCATTAAATGAGTTGACTCTGAAAGTAGAGTAACTGTATGTCGCAGCGATTCCTCATATATTCCTCATATAGCAAACAATATGTGTGTATAATGTGTGGTAATGTCTGTACAGATGTGATCAGTGATCAGTATTTCCTCAGTCGACACATCTGTATGTGTTTTGAATGCAGTTCTCGCACAGCGTTTGCCTTCATTTAGAAATGCATTCCCGTGAGAGTAACCCAACTTTGCCTGTAATCCAAATGCTTTATCGCTTATATAATAATACAATTTTTTGCTTCTATGCGTGTATTGCCTGCGAGTCGGAGCACACCTGCACTCCAAACAACCGATGCCTCCTCTCTCTCTCCACTCTCTCTTTGCTTTGCTTTTATCGCAAATATGTTTTACTAACGAAATACAAACCTCACAGTTATGTACATTCACTACAACACGGCTCACTGTGCCGTAAGAATAGAGACAATTCAATGCAATCTGTGATTGAGATTTGAGTCCAACTCTTAACTTCATTAACACGTATTACTACTACAGAGCCGTGTTTCACATGTTTTCTACATTTTATTTCACGTCTAATTCAATAAAAAATGAATTATTGTTTGCTTTTTTGATTAGCATTTAAATGAGAGAACTTCACACAGAAACTCAAATCATATGCTTTTCAATGTTCAATGAATTGAAACTGAAATGAGATTTTCTAGAAATGAGATTTTTTGGGTACATTTGCTGACAGACCTGTAGACTCCTACCCCTCCTCTGAATAGTGATATTTAGCGAAAAACAAAACACAAGTCAAAAGGCGGTCAACAGTTGTGATGACCTCCTCGTGAGATAATTCTAAGAAAGTTTGGATGAAAGGCAAGAATCGGCACAATTGTTACACACACACAGTCTTACCATACCTTGACACTACCTGTGCACCCATACAGCCAACTGGCAAACTGGTAGACAGGGAGAGGTGAGCACTTAAGGCAAAGTCAATGGAATTTGTAAGACTGACGCCAAGTTTGCCATAAGAAGCAATTGTAAGGCTATTATAACCTTTATATCCGTAAATACGTGTCGGCGCCACATCGGCTGTGCTGTCATTGGAATTATATATTTAATGACAATTCATTGGAAAACAAACAAAACTAATGATACCAAAGGAGTGGAGTGTTGTGTTGGACGCCAAGTCTTAAACATTTCATTTGTTCCCGACTTTTATATAAATATTTATTGACAAGAATTTTAATGTTTATTATATTTATTATAAGTTATTCTAATTTTATTTCTATATTCAAATAATATTACATTTTATTTTTAGTTTACAAATGTATTAGTTATATATTAATCAATGATAAAAATATATGTGTTTTTCAATGTTTCAAATTCACCACAGAATATGCAGCCCTTCCCTCCATATGAGGGGTTCTATGGCTTCAAAATTATGTCAAAATAGACTATTTTTAGGCAATTTTCATGTCCTAAAGTGAGACTATTTTAGAAAATGTTGGTCTCAGGGAGGGCTCAAAGTGTTATGAATGCAAACATATTCTCCAATAATACTATTAGTTAAGTACAAAAATAGACAAATTAGTGATTACTAGTGTTGAGGCGCTCCGCAGTTCACGGCAATTGCTATGACTGACTGAATGACTGTATCATTTGTTAGTGAACTATATTTGATTAGAGATTATTGCCAAATATCAGACAATTATCGTGTGATTAAGTAATTAATCCAATGTTTTATCCTTTCATTTATTATTAATTAATGTTATTATCATAAACTCTCTATTAGTCGGTTTAGATCTTCCACTGATCTCTGGTGCCATTTGTGCCGTTAGTTCGCGACGAAGTATACGCCAGTTTCGATGTACGGGTGGTTCGGCGCTGTTGGTAGCCTTCGAGACTCTCTACAGACATATCACTTCCAGCTCTACTCGAGGGTCGACTGGAATGACGACTTTCTGGCCGGGAGTTGGGTTTACTGCCAGCTATTCATTGAACACAATAAATGCCATTAGAGTAAAACTGATTGCAATCAAAGCCATTATAAACTTAATAAACAATACATACATCCAATTGTGAGACGACTGAGGGGGCGGCCTTTGGAGGCGCCGGAGCTGTCTGCCTGATCACTGAAACTATAATCGCTGGTAGAATTTCCATAGCGATAGTGGTGCTGATGAGCCATAGGAACGGAACGCTCGCTCTTTTCTCGGATCTGTTTCGTCAATACATTCTCATTAGTACTCATCACTCCATTCATTAGATATAATACATTGAAACCAATGAATAATTGTGTGAAACAAAAGATAGAGAGAAATAGAAACCAAACCGTATGTACACGACATCTAAATCGACACTTTTATATATAATTTACCCAAAGATGGAGAGGAATAGGTATTCGCGAAGAGAAATCGCAGGGCAGAGGCCGGTAAGACGTACACAATTCAGGACACGCCTGAACCGGCAGACAACGGCATAAACCCATTTGCATCAAACAGTCTTTGATAGCATAATATAATGTTAGAAATATTAGTAGTAAATGAGAAAATATCAACATTTGTCTACAATTCTAGTCTAATTTTAACATCTAATGGATTTGGGGTTACATTACACTCAATACAATGATAACTTAAATTGAAAGCAAAGCAAAGAAAATAGTAAATCAAAGATTGGATGAGAGATTAAGTTAATTTAGATTAATAGAGTGATCGCATGATATCCAATACAAACCTTAGTGATTGGACCCGTAGTATTGATAGTTCCGTCCGATTTGATGGGGGACTTAGACTTGAAGGGAGTCATCGACTGACTGACCCCATCGGCCAAAATAAATTGCTCGCGAAGCTCGACATTCGTGCGGCCCTTAGCTATACGTGCAGTCATTCAAAACAAAAAGCAAAACATGCATTCAATTCATGCAAAACTAAAAACTTAAATACACTTTCGACTTGAAAACAAATTATAATCAAAAATAAAATCACAATCAAATTTCACGACATTTGACGGGATTTCTAGTATCATAACAGTGGATGCAATGAGAAAGTGATGCCTACCTCTGCACGGGTCGTTCTTGACGAGGAACTCGTCCAGTGATACCCAACCGCCACCGACTCGGACCATAACAGTACTGCGAAGGATACGAACCAAACGGAGTTTTTGTGATTCACCGAACTATACATACATTCAATGAAACCATTAGATGATTATCACAATAAATATTGCTATCTATAGTAGACTCACTCTATATCTGCCTTCGCCCACTTGGAACACCTTATATTTGGTAAGACACGTGCATTTGTTGACCAATCGCTGCACTTCGTCCTCAATGATCTCAGCCTCGGTCTTGGGCTGATCCCTATCGGGTCTCAAAGTATCCAAATACTCCTTCTGATCGATATATCCATCGCCGTTGCGGTCGAATATGTCTGCCACGCGATTCATCTCCAGACGAGTGGTCGGGAATTTAGACGCCAGGAAGCCTTCGATGAACTCCTGTTTCGTCACCTTTCCGTCGTTATCGGTGTCAATCTTCCTGAAGAAGTCCATAATTCTGGCCTTTTTGTTGTTCATCCATCCGAGGAATCTTCGGCGCCACTCATCGAAGTCAAAGTTTCGCATTCTATCCAACTCTCGGTTGTAGTTGAGTTTGTCCTGAAGTCGTTTCATACGATCCATAGCCAACTTCCAGACAACACTCCACTTCTCAAGCAGTTCCCGAGCGCGCGGGTGTTTGATCTCAGGCTCCACGTGACCTCTGGTTGGAGTAGAGGTTCGCGGAGGTATTCCTCGCCTTCCAGATGTTCCCTTTGATACCTGTTCTCTGGTTCCGCGTTTAGTAGTGAAAGCTTTGGCAACTTTCTCGACGTCGGGTTCTCTTCTGATCATCGAATCAATGAACGTCTGGTGCTCTTCAATGAGCCGCTCGAGTGCCAGTACGTCGTCGGGTAGGGGTTGCGCTTCGGCCGCAAGTAGTGAAGCTTCGGCACCGATGAGCCACGCGAGCAGCTCTTCCAACAGATCCATAATGTTTCGCAATGACCTCAAGTGGTCCTGAAGTCTCTGTTCCCTCTGTTGAGCCCAAGCGGACACCTCTTCCCATCGCGACTGAATGATTGTAATCCAGTGTTTGATGACAGGAGTGGCCTCCGGATGACATTTCTGGAGGATCTCCTGCGCCAACGAAATGGTTGAGTCCTTGTTCTTCTCCTGTGACGCCATTTCCCGCATAAACCTCTCGTGTTCTGCGATTTGTTGTCTTGTGGTCGCCTCGTCTTCAGGCAGAGGTCCGGCAAATCTCAGTTTCATCTCAGCGTCGGACAGCCATTCGAGAAGCATATGAACCGATTTGTGCAACTGTTCCGCTTGTCTCAACGCATCCTCCAGTTTCCTCTGCTTCTCATCGCTGAGTCGCGACACTTCATCCCATTTGTTGTCCAAAATACTCATCTGCTCTTTGATATGTCGCGCGTCTTCTGATGTCGCGGTTGTCAACAACTCTCTGGCGGTCTTACGAACGGATTCTAAATTCTTTGCCCGACTCTTGAAGTCTTCCTGAAAGCTCTTGTGTTGGTCTACAAGTGCTGTCACAGTATCGAGATCTCCATAAACAGGTGTATCCATCGCCAGTTCTCTCTTGGCTTTGTCCAACCAATCAATGAGCGCCTGAATGGCGTCTTTGAATTGACCGGAGTATAGGAGCGCTTCTTCGAGTTTGCGTTGTCTGTCCACAGATTTATTGCAGACGGAGTTCCACTTGTTCTTCAACTCGTCGATCATATCCTGAAGGACTGGTCCGTCAGATTTGGGGGCTTTTTCTTTAAGGCTTCGGCCCATTTTGATGGTCGCGTCGTATAACGACTGTTTGGCTCCAAGAGAGCGCTGGAACTCCTTGTGTCGCGAAAGCATTTGTTTGATTACTTCCGGATTATTACCCATTTGTTGGATCGAATCTAATGTCTTCTCGGCGTCGCTAAGCCATGACATTAAGTCACTCCAGGCTTCGCTGAACTCTTTGGCCTCTTTTAGTCCTACAAACGGCATAAAAACAAATCAATTCATTGTAATTTATGTTCTTTATAACGAGTATAACAGTAGGAAAGGTAGGGGGTAGGGGTACTCGTGGGCATAGGGGACAGTAGGGTGGAGTGCATACCATGTTCCAGAGCTCGGGATCGTTCCGCCGCTTTGGACACAACTCGTTCCCATCGGTGCTGAACACTGACCAACAAATTCTTAATTAGGATAACGTCTTGTTTTTGGCTGAAGTACTTGAGATGAGTTCCCTTCTTATCGAGATTAAGCATCGTTTCCCTGTGAGCGGCGATGTCTTTCTGGAAGTGTTTGTGTTCTTCGATTTGCTGCAACACATTGTCGACAATACGGCTGACGGGCTGTAGGTTTGATAAGTACTTCTCTGAAGAGGTCAACCAATCGACAAATTCTTGGAGCGCTTCGTGGAATTCTGTCGCCTCTTTCAACGCTATTTCGAGTTTAATCTTACGATCATTGGCTCGACTCAACACATTCTCCCATCGTTGGCGAAGAGTCTTCAGATTGTGCTGCAGATTAGTGGCCGCGCCTTCAGTGGATCGTCTCAAGTAGTCCTCTCCTCGCTTGAGAACCGACTCGATCTTAGGTCTCATCGATTCGAGTTCACTGAAGAGCTCCATAAATCGGTTCAGTTGCTCTCTGGCCGTCTCGGGGAGTCCTCCGACGGGTTTGGATGAAGAGAGCTGTTGGTCGACATCGTTCAACCAAATCAACAAATCTTGAATCTCTTGATTGAAGGCCTGGGCGTCTTTAAGCGCGTCTTCAAGTTCTCGCTGTCGTTGAGTAGCCTTTGCGATGAGTTGTTCCCAACGAGAGTTCAGATCATTGAGTTTGCTTTGAGTGGCTCTCGCGCTCTCCGTTCCCCTCTCGGAAGCCATCATCTGTTTGCCCGCAATGTTAAGTGTGTCGAGACTTGTCTGGTGGGCCTGAATGTCATTCATGAGGACCTTATGTTTAGCCAATTCTACTTCAATGACCGGCGGGTCGCCGAACACAGGCCTCATGTCGTCGAGTGTGCGCTCAGTCTTGGAAATCCAAGCGAGGAATTCGTTGAGCGCGTGTTGGAACTGACCTAATCTCAGCAGAGCGTTGTCCAGATCTGTCTGTCGGTCAACGATATTCTTCAACAACTCATCCCAACGACGATTTATCTCATTGATGGGGCCTCTGATAGAGCGCGCCTGATCTGGATGTACGTCTTCGAGGAGCTCCTGTGCCATTCGGTTGATGGCCTCCACTTCCACCATATGTGGGTTCACTTCGTTCTGGAAGTCTTTAAGATCTTTAATCTGTCGCTTCACGGCATCGATATCAGCGGCAATGGGACCCATGGCCTCAAATTTACGCTCCGCTCTGTCCAAGAAGTCCAGAATATTGCGAAGAGTCTCGTGAAAGTTCATCGCCTTCTCCATGGCGTCGATCAGATTCTGTTCGCGTTTGGCGTACAAAGAGGTCACGTTATCCCACGCGTTGTCCAAATCTTCGATGTGTTTCTTGACCTCCGGTTTGTCGGGCTCTCCGCACAACTGCATGAGATCACGACCGGTCTGTTTGCAGTGATCCACCTTTGGTTTGGTTTTATCCATATCCACCTTAATCTCATGCAATTGGTTTTGTTGTTGTTTGATTTCGTTTGGCTCAGCGGCCGGTGGCTCCTGATTGTTAAGAGTGTCCTGGAGGTCGTGAATGGCTTTCATAACGTTATTGAGTTCATTCCAGAACTTTTCGGCCACTTTGAGGGCATCGCTCAGAGATCGGCCCCTATTCTTGGATCCCTTCTGGACCTCATCCCACAAGTCATTCAATTTATCCAATTTCTTCCTAATGTCACGAATGGCCGGTTCGTCACTCTTTCCGGCTTTACTGATCACATCTCTGGCGGCGGCCTTAATAGCATCGACAGCACCGGCTCTCTTCTCCAAGTCGTTAATAATGGCGTTATTGTCCAGAATTTGCTCTTGAATTCTGTCGGGATGTGCGGCAATGGGTTCGGCGTTCCTAAGCTGATCAGCCGTATTGCCCAAAGCATTCAACATTCCGTCCAATTTGTCGACAAACTGAGAGGTGGCCTGAATAGAATTTGCTCTTGAATTCTGTCGGGATGTGCGGCAATGGGTTCGGCGTTCCTAAGCTGATCAGCCGTATTGCCCAAAGCATTCAACATTCCGTCCAATTTGTCGACAAACTGAGAGGTGGCCTGAAGTGCGGCCTCGAGTGCGTTCTCGTGCTCTCGAAGAATATTTCGCAGTTTATTGTAGCGATCGCTATCGCTGTCCATAATCTTCTGGACTTGTCGGGCGTCCTGTTCGTAGATGACTCGCATCAAAGCGGTGCCCGTTTTCATGAGTCTGTCGACGAGTGGCTTGTGTTCGGCCACCGATTGGAGCAAAGCTTTGGTCATCTCTTGTTGTCGTCTGATTTGCGTGGCGTGAATGGCAGGCTTTCCGAGCATTTGGGCCTCGGATTCCGCCTCATCTAACCATTGACTCAGCTCTATGTGGGCTTCGAAGAAGGGTTGGGCCAATGCGAGCGCCTGTTCTAAGGCGTTGAGTCTGTCCTGACACAGCTGTGTCACGTGATTCGCTAGTTCTTTAAGATCTTCGGCTTTGTCTCTAATGTTCGCCAAATCCTCACCACTGGAATCGCGCATCAATTTCTTAGCGTTTGCGATCACATCTCTCACTCTTCCCTTCTGGCTATTGATGTCGTCATACAGAGCCCGCGTCTCCTTCAAGAGAATGACCAGCGCTTCGGGATTCGGTGTAATGGGTTCGGCCTCTAATAGCTGTCGTTCGGCTTTTCGGAACCAATCGATCAGTTCTTCGATTCCAGTCAACACTTCACTGTTTCGCTGCTTCGAGAGCTCTATTCGTTCGGCTTTGCGTTGGATTTGTTCGCAAATGGCTTCAAATCTTCTCGAGGCTCGGGTGACGAAGCCCTCGATGGTGGCGGCGCCCTGACCCGGGGATATCTGGGACAGTTGTGGTCCCAAATGGTTCATCGTCTCCAAAAGGGATCGATTTTCAGGGATTTGTTTTTCCAGTTTTACAATTATCTTCTCCTGAGCGCTCAAATTCAATGAATTAATATTCTTGAGCTCACGTTCCGCGTCATCCATCCAGGCGTTGAGGTTGTTGTGGGCGTCGTGAAAGTTCTGGCAAATGGGAAGGGCTTCTCTCGCCTGTTGTAGTTTGTCTGAAGACTTGTGGGTCAGTTCACTGAAGCGCGACTGCAATGAATCCAATTTCTCTTTAATGAATATCGAGTCACCGCCCGACGAGTGTTTCATTATCTCTTGGCCGGAGTGCACAATATCTGACACTTTCTTTTGGTGGCTATGAATCTCTTCGGACATTTCGGTCAGTTCTTCGACCTGTTCTCGAAGTTTGTCCACAAAGACACTCAAAGTTCGGAATCGATTCAATCGGGACTCCATTTCTTGAATCCACGCGAGAATGTCTTCAAAACTGAGAACAAAACTTCCCAACACTTCGTGCGATTGGGCCAACAGTTGTCCCAAAGCGACGCTGTCCTCAACCAGTTTGGCATATCTATCAGTGAGTCTTTGGAGGCGTTCCACCACATCTTGGGCCTCATCGTCGCCGACCAAACTCATGAGGCTTTGAGCGATTTCAGTCAACTCTTCAAAGTCTCGTTTGTGTTCAATGATGTCCTGATGGAGGGCTCTGTGATCAGAAATTCTCTTACGAATGCGGTTCTGATCGGTCGGTATTTGGGACGAGAGAGTCGCCAGTTTTCGTTCAGACGACTCGAGCCAATCGGACAGTGGGTTCACTCGTTCAGCGAAAGCGCGGGCCAACGGAAGTGTCTGCTCGAGGGCTGACATCCGTTCATTACAAGCGGCCAAAAGGGCATCGAATCGACGGGTGATTTCACTCATCTGTCTCTCGATGGGCTGTCTTTCACTCGAGTCCAGGTTTTTGATCAATATTTTGGCAGAAGAGAGCAATGACTGAATGCTCGACTCTTTGTCGAGAATCAACTTTCGGAGCAGTTTCTGCTCCTGAAGCTGAGCCTTAACCACCTGATAGTCGGCTGATATTGGCTTCTGGTTGCGGACCTCCTCTTCGGTGTCGGACAACCATCTGAGAGCTGCGGCCAAAGCGTCCTGTAATGGTAGACCAGCATTAGTATTGACACGAAAGCCGAGTCATTGGCAGCGCAAGCATTGCAGTCAAGAGTTTGTTGCAGTTTTTGCAGAGCTTTTTGAGGCGTTCATTGCATTCGCTAAGCATTGCATTCAAATAAACAGTACAAATGCGAGCAATAAAAACACAAATTAAATTAATTGTTTTAAGAGTTAGGCTTTGATTAGGCGTTAGTGTTGACGACCCGCCAAAACACCGATAGATATGATTAATTGATTATTAAAATAAAGTTTTTTATGCCAAACAAACAAAAACAAAAACAGTTTGTCGTAAAACAAACTGATAGCGAGTTTCAATCGGAATAGCGTCTCAATTCTCACCTCACAATCGGTTAAGTCAGTAGAGGTTACTGATGTCGAGGTACTTATCTCTTGTGTATTAACCGATGTCTGAGAAGCATAAGAAGCCGTTTGCTTCTTAGGGACGGTAGGAGTGGTCTCCGTCTGACTCGTTCTACTTTCACTAGTTTTCTGTTTTACTACCGGAGCGCCTGCCGATTGAGTGGCAACAGCGGGAGCGCCCACAACAGTCAAAAGACCCTGTTTTATGGCTTCACTCAATGCGATCTTAGTCTGAGTCTTATTATCGACCAAATTTGCTTCTTTGGGTTCAATCCTTCCCACAGAAATAGCATCTTTTGTACTCTTAGTATTGCCTTCAATTGCATCAAATAAGACGGCCTCCAAGTCCACGAAACCCTTTGCAATCAATTGCTCCAAAGACACCAGTTCTTTGGTTTCCGGTTCACGGAATTTATTGCTTTCTTTATCGTAAAGTGAATCAAAGACATCAGAAATGTTGTATTTGTGCGGGACATCAGTTTGCGTTGATATCGCTTGTGATTGTGAGTCCATTTTGGGAACCAATTCAGATATTTGAATAGTGGCTGTAGAGGGAGAGGTAATGGTGCCGGTCGTCATACTTAATTCACCCGTTTTCGTCACATCAGCCATTGACTGGACAGCACTGGACGCTCTCATAGTGACCTCACCGGTAGATGTGATGACAGTCTCTACACAAGTCTTGACGACAGCCGCCGACACTTGAGATTTGGTTTTCGAGTCAATAGAAAATACAACATTTTCTTCGCCATTGCTTCGCTTAATTATGTCAGAGATTTGTTGACTCTTATCACTACCATTAGTCGCCTCTTTTGCTAATTGTTTTTCAATCATTTTCTCAGCGATTTGTTCGCTAATTTCCTTCCCATTAGGACTTTTGGTCTCTTTTGATGGACTTTTCTTTCGTATGACGGCCTGTGGAGCAGAGGATTCAGTGGTTGGACGCGTGTCCTCAATAAGAGTCGACTCATTATATTGATTGTCGCAAATAAGTCCTCTTTCTATTGCAGTACTGATTGGAGTCACTTCACCAGTGATGGGATGTGTGAACTCTAAGGCATTCAAGTCTATAAGACCGCTCTCGAGAGCAGCCCTGTATGTGAGACCCAATTCTGGGACAGGTTTTGGTAACTGTGAAGAAGTCTCTTTTTGGGTTAAAGTCATCGGCAATCGGATGTAATTGGTTTTAACCGCTTCTACTAAAGGCATCTTCCGTTCCGATGCTGTGGTCACATCGCAAGTGACCGAATCGATCACTCCTTTATTGATAGCCTCCTCCAATGTAATTGATTTCTTAGTCTTTGGATCCATTAATTTTGAATTCTTATCCACAATATCACAGGCAATGGCTTGAGATAGAGTCAAAAGTTGTCCCGTTTCTGAATGAATAATTCGGCGCTCTTTGGGATTGTAAAGACCTTTTTCTATGAGTGAGGGAAGGGATAGACTTCTACCGATCGGGTAAATCAATGTCTTCTTGTCGCCATCGATTAGACCCATATGTAAAGCCTTTCTTATTGACACTTTTTCTCCCGTCTGTGGCTCTACAATAGACCCCTTCTCGCCATCGATTACTTGACCGACAATCGCCTCCTCTAATGGCATGGAATGCGGAACCGATTCTATTATTTCTGCAGTTTCTTCGCTTATTAGGTGCTCCTCGACAGCAGTCTTTGGAGAGACTGAACGGCGCGGAACTCTCTTAACGATGGCTTCCCGTTCGGGAGAGTGTAAGACTTGTACATCAGTTTGAGGCTCTTTTATAGACACTCTTTTGGGAGATCGGGAACGAGTCGGAGAGCGAGTGGGGCTCGAGCTCGCGGATGAAGACCTTGATTTCGGTGGACTACTTGCGGGCGAGACTATTATGGGACTACTAGTCGGCGATTTCTTTGTTTGCCTACTTGTCGGCAAACTCTTTGCTGTACTTGATTTGTCTTTGGGTACGGAATGTCCATCAATTGTGTCCGTTTCCATCACAGTTACTCTAGATGTGACCACATTGTCGACAATCTCTCCCCTCTCAAGTCGCTGAGCAGTGTTTGCATCAATGAGTCCCCGTTTGACCGCTTCTCTCAAAGGCAATGGTTCGTCGGTCACGGGGTCTTGAATTGTCAGTTCAGTCACTTTGTGAGCGTCTAATCCTCTATGTGTCTGATTGTCATCTTTAAGGCTTTGTGCGGTTTGGGCGTCAATGAGGCCTAACTTGACGGCTTCCTCTAAAGGCACTTCTCGTTGTGTTTTGGGATCTTTAATAAATAATTCTCTCGATTTAATCGCTTGAACCGTTTCTTTGACCACTCGTGTGGTACTGGTCTTAGCTTTACTTCCTTTAGTCATTGACACCTTTTCGAGAGAACTTAATGGACCCGTCTCCGAGTGCAAAATAGAGACCCCTTTAGCGGCAGTGGGTGTCGGAGAACTTGACTCTAAATATGAGTCTACAGTTTGGGCCAATATTAGAGGACTGGCGGCTAAGACTAATAGACCCTGTTTTGCCATTTCAATTATGGATACTTTTTTGCCTCCCTTTTTAGGCACCATTTCTCCCGTTTTCTTATTCACAATACCCTTCTTGAGGGCCACCTCTAGTGTAATAGAGTCACCACTTTGGGGGTCCGTAACTAAAAACAATTTCGGGTCAACTCTTTTAGACCGAATCGCTTCCATTAAATCCATTCTTTCACCAGTATTTTGGAGCAAAACTGTATTACTTTGAGGACTATAATAGATGTTGTCATCGATTCCTATAAAGTGCTGTCTGACAGTGGGTTCAGGAATGCCTAATTGAGATCTCTGTTCAAAATCTGGATTTACGATGACATCCAATTGGTCCGGTTCTCCATCAACAGTAGTGATCCGCAAAACCTTTGAAGTGACGGGCGATTCATCAGATCTTTGGGTCTCTTGGAGTCGAATCAGATTCGAGTCCAACGCTTCTCTCAACGAAAATTTTTTATCACTTTTTGTGTCCAAATAATGACCGGTAGAGTCAATAACCTTCTTCTCAAATGCCCGCAAAAGAGGCAATTTTCGTCTCGTTTTGGGATCGACCACAACAGCAGAGTT